TATAATGACTTCCTTTAGTGACTGGCATTAACCAGTGTCATCTTTGGTATAGATTGCATATTGTCTATTCAGTCCAACCTTTCTGGGGAGATTTTCTGACTAGACATTTAACAGGGTCATATTATTTGCTCACCTAAAGCATTAATAGTTGGTGATCAGCTCTTTGTCAAAGATACATGTTTTTGACCAATTTCTAGGAATTTAGATACAGTTAGTTCATTATTATATATGTAACACTTAACTGAAGTTCCTGGTTTGGGAATTGGTTGGCAGAGCAGTAGAGGAAAAGATGATACGAGAAATGGTGGGGGTGGAGGGAAAGGGTGTGGGGAAGAGAGAAAGACTGCAGTAGTAGGCTCCTGTGCCTTGTGACTCTACGTAGGTTCGTTGTGATTTGGGGGGGGCGGGGATAGGAATTTGATCTGTGGATTTTTGGCTTTTGGGCCACCACAGTGTTATCTTGACCCACAAATATGCAAATCACATCCTAATCACTTGACCTCTTTGGTCCAGTATTTGCTTTGCCTTTTCCTTCCAAAGAAGCTGTTATGCTCTATCCCTTTTTTCTCTGCAATTCACACTTGCTGTAAATACTCTCCCACACATCCCTTTGATGAAGGGTTGCTGGACCTGAGCCAGTTTATTATTTCAGATCTTGTTCTGCAGCACTGCACATAGCAGTAATGTGAAATCTCTCCAATCCCGTGTCACCTAAAGGTGATCTACTGAGGTCTAGAATCCTTTGTTTAAAATGCAGGTGGCCAGGCAAAAGATTAAATTGGAAAGTCATTGTTTAGTATGAGAGGAGAAGAACTAGTATCTCCTGATCTCCGCACAGAATTGCCATTCAGTTCAAAGGATCAAATACACATCCTCAAAACCTAAGCTCATGACTCCGGCTGGGTTAAATGCCCCTTCTCAGTGCTCCCATGATATCCTGTATATATATATGTCCTTATTTCTGTGCTTTAGTTTGTGATTGCCTGCTTCTCTGCCTTTGCCTCCCACTCACACACCCTACTCTTAAATCATGAACTCTTGAGGATGAAGACTGACTGTGTTGCCACCCTGTCTGGCCCATAGTAGGTTCTAAAATAAATATTTGTAGAGTATATGAATTTTTATAGAAGGAAATTTAGATTGCCAATTGATCTTCAATCCTGTTAGAATATTTAAAATTTCCCCCTCAGATGGCTTTGTTCCCAACAATATTTTACCACTATAATACAGATTTTTAGTAATAAATGTCATTCAGATTCAGATAATACAATTTAATCAGTCAACTTGTATTTCTCATTGCCCTGTAAGTTAATTAGAGCCTGAGTTCTAAAAATGAAAAGAACTAGAGTTTAGTCCTCTGGACCTTCTAAGTGATCTTACCTCAAACACCTCCCCCACTAAATCCTCTTAGTTCCCTGAAGTTTACTCTTCAGCATACCCTATTTACTCAGTGTAAGTGCACTGAGACTCTGATGTGCAGGCAACCACTGTATAGGAGCACATGGTTTGATGGGAGAGAGGCATATGAGTCAAGGGTTATAGTGTATGTAGTGTGAGGGCTATCACTGAAGTACATACAGTGTGGAATGTAGATCTAAGAGGTGGGACTGTTAGGGAAACGTGGTCCAAGAGAGTGACATTCGTGCAGAGTCTTCAAGGATGAGTTGAGATTTGAGGGAAGGGGATAAGCATGACAGGGAAAGGGAATAGCATATGGAGAAAACTAGAAGCATGTAGACACAGAAGTGACAACTATATATTCAGGGAATTCTTAGAAGATGAGGCCAAAGTGAAAAGGCAGGCCTGAATGGATGCCTGTGAAGGAGTATGGAATTTAACCTGTAGGCCAGAGGGGAAGTCATTAAAAAATTTTCAACAGGTTGTGTCTGCTTTCAGCTCAGGTCACAATCCCAGGGTCCTGGGAACGAGCCCCGTGTCAGGCTCCTTGCTCAGTGGGGAGTCTGCTTCTCCCTCTCCCTCTGCCCTTACCCCCACTTGTGCACGTACTCTCTCTCTTTCTCAAATAAAATCTTTTAAAAAAATTTTTTTTCGACAGAGGAATGACATGATCTCACTGTTCCCTACCTGTGTCTTTCCTTCAGGGACTTTTGTGACCTGTGTTACCCGATCATTACTATTACTTTCTCTACTAATGAGTTATGCCAAATTAATTCATTTGATTAGAGTAAAATGACTTTAGGTTGCAGTTTAGAACATTCTAAAACTGAAAAAAAAAAAATTCTAAAACTCCAGAAATGTCCCCTTCCCCACCTTCCACCAAAAAAAAAAAGAATTCTGTACCATGGCTAGATACTGTGAGCCTAATCCCATCTCGTTACCTGACAAACTGACAGACTGAATATCTCATTCTGTTCTTATTGTTGAAAAGGAAATAAAGAGTGACTTTTCATTAAGAAGACAGAATATTCCATAGCCTTATACTAATTTAACAAAATGAGTATGGACTATACATGAAAGTAACTGAATTTGTACACGTGAGACTTCACTATCTTGTGTTTAACCCTTTTGAGGCTTTTCATGTTCTGTATCTGGCTTCTGAATGGGCATGCTAGACTTGAAGTCCAGAGAGCTCCTGTCTCACAACCACAGCACTCCCAGCAATTGCTCTTCTCAGTTTTGACCCAGAGCAGTGCAGCCAGTTGTTTGATTGTTTATGTCCAGGTTCGTAGCCAGCCTCACAATAAATCATCCTTCGGAATTTTACAAAGATGTCATTCTTGGCATCTAAACTGAAAGCCCTTTGTGTCCAGCACATCATTTTCCCTTTATGAATACTGTTTAATTAGAAAGTAGCTTATGAACAGTGTCTCATTTTAAAAATGTGATTTGAAGTGGCAGATAGCAGATGTGCATATTACCTGGATGGCTTGAGCCTTTATGCTTACTCATTGGCACAGATCCCTTAGTGAGGGCAACTGCAGAAAGTGTGGGAGGCAAGCAGGCTTCTTCCTGGGGAAACCCAGGCCTCATTTGATTCATTGCTGCCACCTGCTGGGCCGTGGCTGCTGGAATGGGAAGGCCACACCGGTAGTCCCGCTAAGCCATCCAGGGCTATGTAGTTCCAGTGTTAATCAGCTGTTGTTTCTGGGTGAAAACCCACCCCTAAATGAAAGGATCTAAACAGTAGAGCATTGGGTGCCTGGGTGGCTCAGTTGGTTAAGTGACTGCCTGCAGCTCAGGTCATGATCCCGGGGTCCTGGGATCGAGTCCCACATCGGGCTCACTGCTCAGCAGGGAGCCTGCTTCTCCCTCTGACCCTCCCCGCCCCCGCCAAATAAATAAATAAATAAATAAAATCTTGAAACAGTAGAGCATTATACCAGTCAGTGTAAGGTGGTATTCGATTGTGTTTGTTAACACAGAATCCCCAGCAGTTGTGAGGCTCATAGAACTAAGCAACACTTCGAGGACTCAAGATCCTAAAGTGTTAGAGCTGGATGAAGCCTTAAAGCAGATGCGTTGGAGCTTTAGTGTAGTTAAACCAGAGTCTCTTAGAGGCTTGTGAAAATGCAGATTCCCAGGCCTGGCCCCAGAGATTTTGATTCACTAGGCCTAAGATGAGAGGTTTATTTAACAAGTTTCCCATGAGGTTCTACGGCAAGTAGTCCAGCCCCAGGAAGAGCACTGCCTTAAACATTATCTCTGTAAGAGCTTCTCAACCATTTTTCTAATCAGTGCCTCATTTCAATAAGTAAAAAAATATTACATCTTCTATCAACAGGGTGAGTCACTAGTACTTTAACTGGTTCTCTGAAGCATATACACAAAATATTACTAGATTGGTTCTGCAGGGGGAAAAGCACTTTTTAAAAGATTTTATTTATTCATTTGAGAAAGAGTGCATGAGAGAGAGAGGGACGGAGGGCACAAGCAGGGGCAGGGTCCGATAGAGAAGCAGACTCCCTACTGAGCAGGAAGTCCAACCACGAGGATGCAGGGCTCGATCCCAGGACCCCAAGATCATGACCGGAGCTGAAGGCAGACACTTAACCGACTGAGCCACCCAGGAGCCCCAAGAAACACTTAAAAATAATTAACTTTTCTCTCTATTGCCAAGCAGGAAGTACTATAATTTAATGGGTTAATTTATAGTGGAATGCTTTTTGGCTTTGGGCATTGGCAAGTAAAGATAGGGTTTGGTATTATATTTGTCACAGTCATCATTTCCCTGAATATAGTAATCATTTAGTTAATGTGTATTGAATTTGGGGGACCTAAAATGACATAAAACAGAGTTCTGCCCTATGTCATTGCTCACGTCTTTCCTCGAGGAGCCAAGCATGAGAAAACTGCAGGCCCCGTGGATTTTAGTATATCTTATTATCACTTCTTATTCCTTACCGTGTCTTGGCAAGCTTGGCCAAGATCAAAACGATACTAAAGATGAATAATAACCTTCCTTATTACACAGGAAAAACAAGTGGCCTGATAGCAAATTTGAAAAGTCACCTTAGAATTGAGAATTCTGGATGCCTGTCATGTGCTTGCTTTCTAGAATATTATCGTCCCAAAAATATTTGTTACTTTTTTATATATGCTCCTGCTTCTGAAATGACTGGCTCCAATCCAAGAATAACCCTATCCAACTGTGAACTGAGTGAGGCCACTGAATTCAAGGGAAGATCACACATGGTATACTGTGTCATCTTAGTAAACAGTGAGCACCAGTTAACTTCCTAGTGTATTTTCCTCTAGACTTCTTTTTTAAGCTCTCAGGTCATTGGCATTCCAGACTTCCAATCCCTTTAATGCAAATGAGTGTATATTTAACACAGTTATCATGTATTGCATGTACATGTACATAGAACCAAGAGGCAGTTTATTGAACATCTTTATAGAGAAATCTTGTTGAGCTTTCAAGATCATAATTTGTATTACTCGTGAGTGTGGTTTGGTGTATGGTTTTATTTTAAATTTTGTTTTGCCTTCATAGTCTCATCTTGGGTTGTTTTTGTTTTTGTTTTTGTTTTTGTTTTTAGGGATACCTAAAGGAAATCTTGAAAGAAATTGGCGTTCAGAATGTAAAAGGGACCCACAAAAACACATGGGAGCTGAAGCCAGAGTATAGACATTATCAAGGAGAAGAAAAGAGTGATTAAGAAGACTCTTAGCCAGCATGCTAACAGAATGACTAAAGGGCGATGAGCTGAGGAAGCACCACTGATATTCAAATACTTGAGTACCATCTGTTGTAGGGGTAAAATGACTGGAACTTTAATTTCCCTAGGTAAATTTTTTAAACAATAATTCTTGTAAAGTTACTCAAGTGTTTTTTTGAGGAAAAAAATTTATTTATAGGCTTGTATTAAACTAGATTATTCAGAATGGGGTGAGGGGTTGGGGTTAAGAAGGTTTTTCTTTTTATTGACTTTTAAATGTAAAACTAGGAAATGTTTTCTAAATGAGGACTCTCTGTCCTTGTTTTATCTCTGAGGATCTGAGGTGATACAAATCCAAAGTGAATGGCAAAGCAAGAAAAAAGTAGTCAACTACAGAAAGTCTTAAAAGGAATAAAAAGCCAAAGTTCCTTATTCTGAAATTGTCAAAGAACAAAGCTGTCTTTATTTATTTATTTTTACAGGTGATCATGTTTCATAGTTACACCCATTAATAAAGAAGAGAGCATTTATGTTTGTACCTAAGAGAGCAGTTTTCATCATTAGCTTGCATATTTTGCCCTAGTGTTAGTGACATGAGAAATGGAAAAAATCTTGGCCAATGAGTATTTCTTTTATTTGTTTTTTAAAAGATTTATTTATTTAAGTAATCTCTACACCCAGCATGGAACTCAAACTCACGACCCCGCAATCAAGAGTCGCACGGTCTACCGACTGAGCCAACCTGGTACCCCTCTTTTACTTTGCTTTTAAAAGAATTAGAAATTAAATATTTTTCCAGTAATTCAAGATATGTCTCCCCTGTCCAGATTATAAGCTTCTCAGAAACCGACTTTGCTCCAGAATTTTGCTGCATACTCAGCTGGCAGGCATTGACTCGCCTGACAAATGATGTTGACTAACAGAGGTTGTAGGGGTGAGGCTGATATGTGTTAGGCAGGCACAGAAACAAGCATCCCCACAAACAAGACCACCAAAACAAAAGAAGCTTTAACAAATTAAACACAAAAAGTTACTTTTTATTTGTTCATTTTGTCAGTTGCTTCTGTATGCTTGCAACCAAGAAGTAGCAAATGCCAAAAATTTAAGAAAATGTTATATAATTAAAGCAAATCAAGGAGAAACCTATCCATTGAGATAAATATTTTCCTGTATTATTTGATTTTCAGCAGGAGAACACCAGCATGCTGAGGTTGAGTACTGCTGCATTGAGAAAATATTTATCTTTGCATTCCCACTGTGAAATAAAATTCTGGTGAGGGAGGGTGGTCTTACTCTACTTTGTTCTGGTGCAGGAACCAGATGTATCCCCCTTACCTTTCAGTTTCTGGCAGAGACTGAGTGTCAGGAAGCAGATGGATAATGGTGTGACAAATCTGTAGAGAACTGAGAATCTTGGATACCTGTCATGTGCTTGGTTCATAGCATATATCTTCCCCCCAAACCTTGTCTTTTTTTGATGTTTGGTCCTGCCCTGAAACAGACCTCTGTGTCCTCTTCCTCTGTCTTTACTTTTTATGGTGACAGTGGCTGCCAGATTGAACTCTGTAGCTGCTAGCCGAGCTGTGTCTCCTCTGAGGCTCTGCTCTGGTGTTTCTGCAGATCTGGTGTCTTCAGCTTAGTTTAGGTATCTTGTACCTCATCACACCTGACAGTATCTGCTCGAGTCTCTTAAACACTTGTTACCTGTTCAGTGGCATAGCTAATCTAGGCGGTAGACTGGTACCATTCCTGATTAGATTTTTTGAAATTGCTTTCCCATTTGATACTAAAATGTGGCTACTGGTAATGAAGGAGACTCTCTCTGGGTTCCTTTATTTTATTTCAGAACTCTCTTACTCTATAAACATGCTTTCGACAGCCAACTGTCAGGAAGGAGGAGTCCTAAGCCCTTATAACCACTGTGAGATCGAGAGAGGAAAGCTAGTAAGAAGGATACACATCTGGTGAGATGTCACATCATAAGAGCACAGGAGGGCCATGTTTCATAGGTGATTTAAACTCCGCTAGTTGCACACACTTAAGGGATGTTTTAACCAACAAATTGTAATAAATATATTATGGTTGCTGGGCATTGGAAAGATTTGAAATTACATGTTGCCAGAGTAACTTCTAAAATGATAGATCTTAAAAAAGAAAACAGTTTTTGCTCTGTTGTATCAAAAGCAGCCCTTAAAGGAGTTCAGCAGAGTTGGAGTTGTTCCTAAAGGTCTATGAACAAATTTTCTTTGGAGCTTATTTTCATCATTGTTGGTACTTATCAGTGATAGAAGAATAAACACTTATCAGGCCCTTATGTGGCTGGCTGTGTGTTAAATGCTCTAAAATATCTCATTTTATCCTCAGAAATAGCTCTGAGAGGTAGACAATGACCGTTTTATAGAACCATTTCCTGCCCAACGCACTGTCATGAGACCTGATCCCTCTTTGAGGAGAATTCTACCTTTGGGCCAAAGTGAATACCAGAGTTTACTTTTCCAGAAACCTTCCCCCCACACACACACAAATCCTCCCCTCCAGGAAAATGATGCAGACCCCAGAAGAAGTTGTGAGAGCAAAGGAGTTTGTCTTTGGCATCTCTAATACAAACACAGGATGAAAACTGAGCTCCCTCCTTTAAAGTCAAGATCCCCTTGCTAAAATTTTCCTCCCTGCTACACTTCAAGTACCCCAGGTAGGGTGCACACCTTAAGAATGCCCTTCTTCGACCTCCATAGGAGTTAAGGACCCCTGTGGAATGTGATAGGAGGCTGGGGCACTGCGCTGAGGGGCACTGCCTTATAGTCAGGCTTCATGGGGGCTGGGCACCCACCTTTCATCCCAATACATTTGCCATTTTCCCTAGCATTTGTGTCAGAGTCCAGGAGATGATAAGCTGGTTTTCTTTTCAACTCAGTTTTCTTTCTGAAGTGGGTCAGAGCAGGTTCCTAAGCCTAATATTTTCATGTGTAGGAGGAATCAGAGATTGCTTTTTAATCTTCCTTTTCTTCACATATTTCCATCTTTTCTTCTTCCTACTTCCTGGTCTTTGAGCAAGTACCACCATCCATAGTACACTAGTACCATCTAAATCTGATTGACGGCGGCATAAGCCTTTAATAGTTTATTATAAGAAAATCAACAGCCTTTATCTGACTTTGTTAGAAATCATCTAAATTAACAAGGATATTTTAGATGCTTTAGCTTCCAGTTTAAACTAGATTCTGTCAGATCAGTTAGTCTTAAATTTTAGGGTTTGTTTTTTTTTTAAGATTTTACTTATTTGACAGAGACAGTGAGAGAGGGAACACAAGCAGGGGCAGTGGGAGAGGGAAAAGCAGGCTTCCTGCTGAGCAGGGAGCCCGATGCGGGGCTCGATCCCAGGACCCTGGCGAGCTGAAGGCAGACGCTCAACGACTGAGCCACCCAGGTGCCCCAAATTTTAGGGTTTTAAAAAAAGTGCACCATATTTTTAAGTGTTGAAATTTGTATTTAAAATCTTAAGATACGAGATTTTTATTGTCTTGTGGAAATCTAAGTACACCAGAAGATATGTTGCTGGACTAAACACCGTAGTGTGGCGTGGTCATGGAGCGCAGTGGTGGTTTATTGGCAAGTATTTACTGACCATGATTATATCCCAGGCACTGTGGATACTAAAGTGCTAGACATAAGAGGCGTTGACAGTCTAGTGGGAAATAGAGAATGTAGATGGATACAACAGTGTGTGGGTAGAGAAGTGTGAACTGAGTGCTGCAATCAATCAGAATATTCCAGTTAATTCATTGTTGCCATTTATGCTCTACATGAATTCCCAATTTTTAAAGCATTTGAATGCAGTAATATATACTTAATTTTAACTTCTTTGAATATAATTTAACCATTGAAAATTCCTAAAACACAAGAGGATTTGTACAATACCTGAGGATCATTATTATGAACACATACAGTAGATGTCTGTAATACATCGATCTCGTTAATAGAATGCTAAGTTGAAGGGCTCACGGAGCTAGTCCTTGTGACATGTAAGCCTTATTTCTACTTCTTACATTGCTTACTTACATTTCTACTTCTTCTTATTTCTTCTTCTTACATTCTATTTTCTCTCCTTGATGAACAAAAGCCTGGGAAGCACTTTGGCCATTCATTCATTCGTTCTGTGAAAACCCACTAAAATGCCCCCTGTGTGCCAGGCACCAGGAGCAAAGGTTGATGGGTGTCTGTAATAATGTGCCTTACATGCCAGCAGTTCTCTGCCTATGTTACTAAATAAGCAGGAAGAATAATAGCTTTTGTTTAGTGGACCTTTGCTGTATGCCAGGCACTGTGCTAAAAGCAGTTGACTCCTATTCCTCATTGAATCCTCACAACAGCGCTAAAATATGGGTCTCTTTTTGCCTTTGTTTTATAGATGTGGAACATCGGGTCCTGAAAGGTTGAAGAACCTAACCAAGGTCATAACCAAGGTAGTCAGGGGCAGAGCCAGATTCAAATCCCAGAAGAAAACTCAGCAGTGCAGGCTCTTAGTTACTATTATGTGTATGAAGTGTACTTTTATGGGTCCCATGCTGCTGATTGCCCTTAGCTGTAATTCACCTGCCCAGAGTCTCCCGTTTGGTTTTTTGTTGTTTGTTTTATTGTTATTAATATTATTGAGGTGTAATTGACCTATAATTCTTTTGTATTTGACTTCTTACTAATGGGTAGCAAAGTCTCAAGTTCTCTTTCTTGAATCCAAAGAGAGTTAATTCTGGATTCTACCTGAGTTGTTTTGCCTTTAGAGGTTAGTTTCCAATTTTTTTTTTTAAAGATTTTATTTATTTATTTGACAGAGAGACACAGCAAGAGAGGGAACACAGGCAGGGGGAGTGGGAGAGGGAGAAGCAGGCTTCCCGCTGAGCAGGGAACCCGACGCGGGGCTCGATCCCGGGACCCTGAGATCATGACCCAAGCCGAAGGCAGACGCTTAACCAACTGAGCCACCCAGGCGCCCCTAGTTTCCAATTTTTGTTGAGGTTCTGGAGTTTCTTACGGAATGATGTTCCTTTTTTTTTCTTGGCTCTAGATGCAGATGAGATATTTCCCAGGAATGACTGCAGATGGCCAATGTACTTGATTTACTTACATTCTAGACCACCCAGGCTTATGAGAAAGTTGTGATTTGGCTGTTCACAGTTGAGGGTCTCTGCCATGGCCTCGTAAGCACAAAGGAAGTCCGTCAGTTTGGGACTGCTCAGTAATGGGGATACAGAGCTCAATACGAACAGGCCCTTGCTTCCAGACACTCCCAGTATTGAAGAGGACTTGGAGGCAAACAAATAGCCAACATAGTGTATCAAGTGCAGCAATAGAAACACATGGCAGAATGTTATAAGAGCTACATGGATTCAAAGTAAGTCACTTAGAGCAAGTTGTTCGCTTTGTGTTCCTCTTAGTTTCATCATCTGTGAAATAAGTCTGTCTCACAGAACTGTGGTGAAAGTTAAATGAGTCAATATGTCAGTGCTGTATTTAGACCTGTGGATGGGAATTTTCTTGGTGATGCTGTAGTGCAGCGGAATTGTTGGCTCTTTCTATTGGACAGCTGACTTTGTGCCATTCTGCTGTTGCTGT